CAGAATTATTAATAATGGAACTGTTCCCAGTGGTAAATCTTATCCCTGAGAACAAGTAGAAGTGAGGATATTCCATAATAGTGGGACTCTGGGTATGTTCACACAATGCAGACTATTCCAGGATAGCTACATCACCTAGCTATTCCGCCATAACCCCGGCATGTAGTTTCAGCCTATGACAACCGAGAGGACGCTACCTTCCTGACTGACAGTAAATAAATCAACGGATGGCCTCATCAGTCAACACAGCTGCACGGAGTTAGGTCAGTGGAGTTTCATTAGGGAGGGGTGTGGATTTTTTACTGCTCTGACTTTTGTAACTATGTCAGCCTAACTTTTAACTGGCAGCTTTTAATCAGATTTAAGTTATTAGTAACCAGTCCCGTGATCACATTGATTTTAAAATAGATTATGTGACGTCAACAGGATGCCCATCTGTGATTATAAATGATATTTCCCCAGACTAAACAAAGCTCTGATGTATGATTCTGTTTTGTTTCCTATGTTCTTATTATAGTGTGTCCCTTTTACTGTTAAGAACTGTAAAATGTAAGGGCTCCATTCTGCCCTCGGTTACAGAGATTCTCTTCCACCTGAAATGAAATGGGGGTTGCAGCCTGGAGACTTGGGACAGAACTGAGCCTTAGGGTCCTGATTTACCTTCAACCTAGTTCAGTCACTTGCACCAGTGCACAATGCGGAGGTGGGTACATTTTTCTCTCATCTTTCTAAAATGGTGTCCATCACATCATACATCATCACCTGAAACACTATGATTCTGATTGTGACAACAGTTTACACCCCCTTTTGGTAACAAATATTATTCCGATCTCATTGCAAAAGTGGGTCATAGTGAGGAATTTGTGTGGGAGGGGAGGCCTTGTAGAACAGAGCAGGAAGGATATGGGGGCACTTGCATTGGCCACTGTCAGAAGATAGGATACTGGGCTAGATGGACCTTTGGTCTGACCCAGTGTGGTCATTCTTATGTTCTTAAGGGTTCCAGGAGTGGTGTGGCATGGAAGAAAACATAAAGAGGTTCATGGGAGATGCTGACAAACAGGATGCTCAGGCTGGAGTCATGGTTGGTGCAGAGAAAAATGAGGCAACATAATGTGACATAAGGGGACAGGATGAGTCTCATGTTCCATTCCCGATTGGTCCAATGAAAGATATTACCTCTTTAGAATTATGGGCCCTACACAGTTACAAACGACTGTTTCATCCCAAGGGCAGCATGATTAATGATCAGTCCAATCTCTTGTGGAAAGGAGATTCGCAGTGATGGACCGGCTGCTGGGAATGCTCTGGCTCTCAATCCTGCAGGTCTCATCATGCTGATTTGAGTTTTATTTATAGCTGGTTGGATTTTTTTTCTCTCTGAAAAAATTTGATTCAGAAATGCCACGGTGATACCAAATGAGACTTGTAATTAAGGTGTTTCCAGCCCCCATTCTCCTCTGGGGGCAAGTTTCCTAGCTGGACTGCTTCACAGGATGTACCTTAGCCATAGACAATCAAGAAGAGAAGGGACTTGGTCGTGGGTCTCCCATATCCTTGGGGGATGCTCCTATTGGGGGAGGGATTGGGATGGGGCAGAGGAGTCTGATTCTGTATTTCAAAGTTTCAGTTTCAATAAAAAATAGTCAAAAAAGTTCTTGACTAGCTTTACTGGTGGCATCAGTCAAGGACCATAGTCGCAGTGCACTAAGCCATGTATGGCCATGCACTAAAAGGACAGTCTTGAAGAGCCAATCCACATCTGTAAGATCTGCAGGTCACTGGAGTGCTGCATGAGCAGAGGGGTCTTTGTTCCCAGATCAAATTCAGTCCCTCTTCTGAGGCTCAATCCTGCAAACACTCCACACCCACAAATCCCATGGATGGGGAGCCAGTGTAGGTGAGTCTCTGAGCCCCAGCCACCCATGCCTGTAGGAGTGTAGCTTGCAGACCAGTTTTGATTGGATTGGGTATGTGAATCACATGGTAATTTTCTGTTTCCTGAGTCGAGGAGTGTAACTCTTAGACTCTATTTTCTCGTGAGAATATTCCTGTTTACCAGTGAAGAATAGTCCCAAATATTTTCTTTCCTTCTTTTGCTCCCATAAACATTCCTGCCAGTAAGCACATTGGCTGGAATATGTTTAGAAAGATACAAAAAGAACACGAGCAGAGCCAATGGGGATGCCATTAGGCATTCTAATGGATGTTCATTGAGACTTTTTGTGTGTGTGCAGTATTCTAATGCAACAGCATTTGGGAAAATGCAAGGGAAAACAATGACTCCAGCCCTACATGTTTATGAATTACAGAATTACTCTGCAAATTTAAGTGCTGGCTTTTCTGTCGTGATAGTAGCTCTCCCAACTAAAATTCCAGCCAGTCACTATTGTATATTGCTATTATGCTAAGGTATAGCAGACTACTTCCAGCATATGCAACATTTTCCCTGGCCCCTGGCTTAGGGGATGTATTGGAGTAGAAGGGGGCATGGCTGGAAGAGTCACAGATGATACTTCAGATTGAGAGAGACAGATTGGTACAGCACAGATCAAAGGTAGAGCTGTTATTGGTTCCCCACGTTATTTCCTTCCGCAGTGGTTGCCTGTGATTTGCCAAGAAGGCATCAGTGCAAGATGATTTACTGCTGCTCAGACATGTAGTGCACACTCAGGCAAGTACTTCTTTCTCACACAAGGCCTGCTGAATGCAGTGATGCTATTCCCTTGCATCAGGGCTGCAAGAATAGGTTCTCCTGTAGTACTTTGCATCACTACAAACAGGGAGGCTAAAGGTGACATATTTTGTAACTGAGAAAGCATTTAGTGTATGATGATTTAATTTCCATTACATCCCAGATGGGGCTAGATTTTCTTCAGCTTTGTAAATTGATGCAGATCCTTTGACTTACATGGATCCACATTGATTTACCCTACATGAGAATCTTGCCCTATTCATCTTATGCACTGCCTGCCTGCAATGAAAATGGGTTCTGAATCTATGCCATGTAGAAAAGTCTTTCACACTTCACATGGAAACCCTGGACACTGCGTACTATATAGCGTTAACTGAGTTTATTTCACCCATGAAAAATGCGAAGAATTCATAAAATGAATTAAAATGAGATTAGTGAAAAGCTCTGGAATCATGCTGAGAAACTCATTGCAAATACTCAGATGAAACATAAAGGATGGCATTTTGGCAGCTGTGTGATTCACACCTCTTCAGGCAGGGAAGTTCTCTTTGCAATGAATGCAATTTGTATACAACTTGTCTGCCCTCTAGTGGTAGATCAATGCAGCTAATAATGTA